ATAACATACATGACATATTAAACACTTTTAGGAGGCAACATATGTAGAATGCAAAGAAGATGCACATAAAATATATAAACAGTTGCTCAAGTCCAAACTTACCTGTTCTGAAGTAAAAGGCTATCACTGCCTGAGCTTTTTGCAAGAACTAATTGACAACAGAGTTGAGAAGAAACATTTGGTTAGAAGAGGAGAAGATAAGGACGGCTGTGAGGACACCAGCCTAAAATAAGGGAGGAGTCAGGACGGAGGGAGAGGTGGACGGAGAAAAAAGAGGAGGAAGATAGTGGGTGAGGTTTGAGGAGGATGGGTAGAAGAAGTTTCACTCCTTGTATGAGTCTTTTTGAAGTAATAAGTCATTGAAATTCCAGGCTGAAAACCAGAGAACATGCTACAGCAGCAGATAGAACATGTATTTGGCAACAAAGGTACAAAATGCAGAATTTAATTACCATAAGCTGCTGTAATACAGTCACAATCCAATGGATAAATGAATAAAGGATACTGGGGAGTTTTACTTTAGAATATACAGAAAACCAGGAGCGAGACAACAGAATCAAGCAAAGGAGCTTAATACAAGGAAACATGCTTACTGGAGAAAAAACAGGTGGCTGATTGGAAACAGGGTGCAGGTGTGAGGGGAGACAGCATGAGAGGAAAAAGAAAGAAAGTAAACAAAACACATTCTCTATCAGTGACAAAGAATAAACCAAAGCATGGTTAACCAACAGATATGAACCTAAGTATATAAACAGTTGAAGAAGACATCTAAAATAAAGTGAGGGTGGAAGAAAGAGAAAACTGTGGATCCTTCTGGGGTACGGATCCACTTAACCCAGGATTCTGACAGCTGGATTCTGTGTTTCATAAACCACGTTCTTCCCCTCATCTCATCCCTGCTTCGTCAGAGCAAATTTTATACATTACCATGCAATTTTTCAGTCCTATTTTTGACACGTATCTTCAAAACTGTGTAACGTCATGATGTTCACACACACCTTGTGGTTTTCACATTATTTGTATTTTCAACAGTCAGAAACCACAACCAGCTTGGGATGTGGAAATGCTCTTTGAGAACTTTCATGATGCATGTGTCAACAGAAAAATCACAATTAGTCCCCATACCATGTATTTAAACATTTAATGACTTCAGAGTAAAATCCATTGGACCACTTTAATTAAGATTTTGGTTTTATTTGACCAAAAAAACTCAAAACACAAAAAACATTTTATCCTTCAGAATCAAACCAAACAGAAGCAAAGAATGATCCTCTGGTTAAGGCTATATAATTATGTGCACCTAAGATTTGAAATTAAGAAAGTCACTGTTAAGCCAGAAAATATAATATTTCAACTACTAAATATCCATGATGACTGCTCTTTCACATAGATGTAATGTGACGTTTGACACTAGTCTGCAGGAAAATTTGTCCAGTAATGTCCGTGTGCAAGTCAGAGTCCTGTCATTTGCAAAAACACTACAATGAGACTGTGGTTATCTTGTGTTTCTGAGAGACAAAGAATTGAATTCATTGAACTGGTGGACCGCTTTGTGCCCTGGTGTGGAAGCAGTTATCTCATCGTGAATGTGAACACAACAAAGGCAATGCTTGTGGATTTGTAAGAAGAAACACTATTTGGTTTTTTGTTGTTTTTCTTTTCCGTTCATGTTTTATGAGTGGTTAGTAGTTTCCACTTGTTCTGCAGTCATTAGTTGGAGTCGATGTGTCAGTATGGAAACACTTCTGGAGCTTTGATAGTTCAAACAGTGCTTTTTAAAAAGAAGAACATAACGGACAATCTGAGTATGGCCTTCATGATAGTTTTTGATAGACGAGCCTTATTGGATCCATTTGATCGTGGTCTTTGATAGAATATCCTTTCTGTCCAGAACAACTGTGTCTTTAAAAACACTTGAATATTCAGAGCTCCTCCAACATGCTTTTTCTCAACAATTATTATTTATTCATTATTATTATTATTATGATTATTCATAATTTAATTACATAAAAGAAAACATCCATGCTAGAACTAATGATTCTTTGCAAGTAAGATGAGTCAAAGAACATTTCTACCTTCTTTTAATAAATAATAATACAATGTTGACTTAATCTAAAGAAAGATTATGGCTACATGAAGGTAATGAATCAGTCTTTGCATGACACATTTATTCTTTTGTCTATAAAAACTGACTTCAAACAACAGCTAAAATAATGTCTGAACTCCATTCCTGACATAATAATATGCTTCTAACAACAAATTAAGGAATGTTGACATGATTGTGTTTTCATTTTCTAGTGTAAGTAGTACAAAACCAATTCTGCCAAGTGAGCAATCAGAATTTACATGCAAATACAGCAAATGAGGAAGAAAATGAACTACTTTAGTATGTAAAGCATTTCAGGCATTTTGCTGGTGATCTTCTGAGACATCAGTATACAGAGGCTTTCACCATCATTCTCTTCTTATTGAAAGCATTGCACATGTGACCTTTCATCATTTCATTGCCACCCTTTTGTTCCAAACAAAAAAGTAAGAATAGAATCTGTCTCAGATTATTGATGATTTTTCTTGTTTTGCCTTGTTACTCAGTAAAATCAAAGCATATGACGAGTTATCCTCCATCAAAATGACAATGAGGAGAGGTGAAGCCAAAGGAGGGATAGTTGACAGAGAAGGATGCTGTTTGGCTTGTCTTCCTCCCTCACTGACCCCTCCAGGCTCTTCACCATCATAGGAAGAGACAATGATGAACTCAAGACGGCTATTTATAGCCTGCGATGGCCAACACTAGCCCTCTGTCTCTGGTCTGTGGACATCCGCCTTGCTTGGTTGTGGAGTATGCGTGCATGTGATTACCCTCATGACAAAGGACGACACAAGTGGGAGAAAGAGGTGGACTCAGAGAAACAGAGCTGAAACTGAGGATAAGACTGGAGGCAAAACAAGAAAAGAGGCAGGAACGAATGTGGGCTTTGGTCCGTCAATAAATGAAGAATGCTAGATGATCAGTGGAGTTTTATGGAGTAACTTAGCTCTTTTTTTTTTGCAGCAATTGTCTTAAATTTGAGCTGGATGTTCTCTACAAATGAGTCTGCTTTTGGAAGCACTTTTTACTAAAAAGCTGCCAAGTCACCAGGTGAGGAGGAGCTGGAAGAGGTGAGATGACTTCACATGTAGGGAATGTGAATGGGTTGTAGTGTGATCAGCACGTCCTTAATGTTCTGTTGCTTCTGTTGCGCTTTCTTTGCTAAAAAATAAATTGTCAAATTCTTCAAAATGGAGATGTATAAGAATTAGCAGAATGTTTTGGGAAAATTTTTAAGTTAGCAACATTAAGTATTCTGTACTATTCTGTTGGAATAGTACAGAATAGACAGGCATACTCATCTAACATATACCTTGCTTTCCAAACGTAAATAGCAGTTCAGCTCACATTCTACTTCTGCCCCTTGGCATTTTAACACTTTCCTCAGAAAAGTCAGCTATCATATTCAAACTTCTATGGAAAAAAGTGTTTATATCTTTAGTTCTAACAATCTGTAAAATATGACTCATTTAGTCATAGATGATATTTGGATTGAACATAATTAAGGAACCAAGTGATTGCTCACTTGGGGATTCTCTGTTTTTATTGTATGTATGTTTGTAGAGAAAGACCCTTTCTGTCTGTCTGCTTCGGATAGTTCAATGTTTACTGCTCTGTTTGACCAGAATGCAGTTGCATAAATTAGTCAGTAGAGGTCAGATGAGGCCTAAGATTAGATTTTATTGTTGCTGAGACACACCCTATATACTGATTCCTCCAGCTCTCTCTATTTTGGTATGGGTCACTTGTGCTGTTGATGCGAAAGACGACAGGGGTTATTAACCAAAACAAAACACCCGAGCATCGGAGCATGAAAAACACAGTTAGTATGCAGAGAGAACAGTGAAGTATTAGAGATTTCTTATCACTTCACTTGTTCAGTTCGTCCCTCCCTTCAGACCTGCTGATTACTTATCTGAGCCCCTTTAATTATGCAGTGATTTAGCTGTGGCCTGTACAGTAGATCTAATGATAATGGAAATAATTTGAATTCCAAGGTCAAATAGATGTTAAGTGTGTGCAGATCATTTCCATGTTTCTGAATATCCTTTGCACTTTTTTTCTGTAATCCTCTCTTATATCCTCTCAGAAGTAAAGTAATTATTTTCAAATTGCGACAGACTCCATAGACTTTAGACATCTTGCAAAGAGATTCAGCCAAAAGCACAAATTTCTCGATTGAGTTTTAACTAAATCATGTCACACCAACAAACCGCCCGCTGGCTTATCTTCACACCACCGTGTGTGTCATTTTGTTGCTCCTGGCACACAGTAAATTTGATCCAGCACATGTCCTTGCTTTAAGTCTCTCCTAAGTTGAGTCATTTTATAATATTTACCCACAGTACTCACATAGGGGGATTCTCTTAGTCACAGATTGTAATCCTTACTTTGAAGATCTAACAAAAAAGAGTGTGAATTCAACACGTCATAGTTCCTGTCAGTCTTTTATTCCTGAACTGACACGTCTGAATCTGTTTCCATTTGGCCCAGATTCTCTCTGAGGTTCGCAGTGAGGCAGCCTGTACCCTGTAGGCAGCCGGCTACAAACATGCAGTGACAATTCAAATTAGTCCAGTTCACTGGCTCTGGCAATGACTCAGGATGGAAAAGATGCATACGCAGCCCGCAATGCTTCAGAGACAGTTTTAAAGAGGCAGGGATTTCAAAAAGGGAGAAAATAAAGTAAAAAGAAAGAGGAAGACAGTTTGAGTATTCCATCAGGTATGCTGCCCAATTTTAGCTCAGCACTTTTGTTTTAAAGGAAGTAGACTGGAACGATGCCAAGTCCACTTAAAAGGCAGAGAGCGCGCCTTGTGGCTAAAGTGGTCTGATGCACATGCAGCAACTGCAGCATGGGATCTGTCTAGAGTATTGTTATGCAAGCAGGAAGAGAGCAGCCCCACTTTGATCTAGACATCGGACAGAAGCTGAGATGCTTTGGAGTTAGAAGCTGCTGTTTGGTGTGTCACCATCAGAGAGACGTTTTTTTTTTTTTTTTTCAGAAGGACAAAGAGGTGGAGACTTAACTGCACTGCTCATTACTCAAATGATTTGACCTGCATTCACACTTGACTGCATCACACCAAGTTTTGTCAGCGTCATTGCAGGTGAGTGTGAATGTCTGAGTGAATTGTGAGAAGAAATATCAGTTCATTAGTTAATTGTTAGATCTGGCTACTGTAAATGCAATGCGGGTTAATATGAATTTTAATTGAGTGGATTCCTGTGATGAAAAACAGATAAATGAGTCTAAAACTTGTTTCACATTTGCACACCTTTTTTGCAACTGATGACAAGGAAACATGTCGGCTTTCATGTGTGAATTACCCCAGGAGGGTTTTTCCCTGACACTTTCTTACAAAGGTGTCAAAAGACTGAACCATGCATCACTTCTAACAATTCAAATGTCTAAGCTACTAAAACATCAAAGGGCAGATGTGTTCAAGTAGGAGCTTAAAGTTAACACATGACCAATTTTGTTTTATTTTACAATAAAACAGATTGCATAATTACACAAATTGCTTTGTTCAATCTTTTTTCTTGTCCACTGTAGTGAGCTGCACAATGTTATTGTCTTCGCTTGCTCAACATCAATTTTTGAACAAGGTACACTGAAAAAAATAAGGCCAAATTGTTATGTAGTTTTAGAAAACTATCACGGAAATAATTAACCAAGAAAGTTAATGAGAAATAAAACACTGACCACTGAACAAATTTTACCTCATATAAAAGTGAAATGTTTAGCTGCTTTCATCATGGAGAAACAGTGGAAAGGAAAAACTCTTGAAATAACCTCAGACAGGACCAGGCTCAGAGTGTGATTCAACCTGCTGGGGACACAACATGGACAAGATGTAAACCTGATTCTTTGTTTTGTGCAGAACCTCAATAGTCCTTCCTGGGATCTGGTGTCATGTGTTCAGTAATTGCCAAAAAGGTTTATTGACTTACACTATTTGCTGTTTTAAGGGTCTAATGCACTAGTTCTGTTTTCTTTGTCTTCTTAGAAAGATTTGGCTATTGTTTAAGCATTTTGATGAAAACATTTACTTTATAGTGTTGTTTTATCATTTCACAGATACTTATTGTCATTCTGTCTATACAAGAAACTATTTCTTTTGAAAATGCTCCAGAAGTCAACTCGAAACAGCTAAAATGTCAACAGAAAATAAAATTAGCAAAATGGGAATACAATTTCCAGATTTCCAAGCTTATTTAGATCACCAAAGATTAAACTATGCTGGACAAATATTTGTAACAATTTTATCAACCTCTGAGTGGGGTAAAGATGGGGTAAAAAATGAACAAATCAATTTGACAAAGTGTCACGTATAAGAAAAAAAAAATACCAGTTTTGTTTTCAATATTTCTGAGTAATTTCCTGTCTGATCTTTGTGCAGGTTGACACAACTCCCTAAACAATATTCTAACATTTAGATGAACCATTTGCCACATTCACCATCTTAATTTTCGAATATGTTTTGCTGCTAAGGCTGATGTGGATGTAATTTGTTTGACAGTCTTTTTTTAAAATGTATGCTATCAATATGTGCACATTTGTTAAAAAAAAAAAAAAACAATCTCTGACATTTTAGAAGGCTAAGTAACAGAATCTTTATCAACCACTCCCATGTCAATCTGATCTTTATCATTTCTTCTAATGCACCAAAAACATATTGAAGAACTAGAAATGGGTAAAGCAGCTGCTAATGCACATAATATCAACCATAAAGTAATTCAATTCAACGCTGGCATTCCATCCACAACCAAGAGGAAATACCACTAATGTTGGGTGATGTCAGCGCCAATAAAACAGATCCATCATGTGCGCAACTTGCTCCATTTTGGAACTTAACTTTCAATTGCCATTCTGAATTATAGGTATGAGAACACATAAATACTTCTCTGTGGTCTATCAGCATGTACAGTGAAAGAGTTGGTGGTTAAAGCAAAATGTGCTGCTTGAGGCACAATTTTGTCTTGTCTATTCTGACAAATCCACATCTGATTTCAAATTTCTTTTAAAGGTAATTTTCATTATCATAAAATGACTAGTATGTGCAGAGACGTCACGGAGCTGCCTTTTAAATGCCGTAGGTTCTCATACTCAAAGGGCAAATTTTGCTTCTTGCAAATGCCACGTCTGTTTGTGTCCTGAATCCAACTGTGTGTATGTGGCTTGTCTTGTTTGGAAAATCTAATCCACAGATACGCTCCACTGGTGGACACTTTCCCCCTTGACGCACCAAAGATGACACACATTCCAACATAGGCTGATACATATTTCAGATGAAACTATTACATAACAAAAAAAGATGAAGTTTAGGATGACAGACAACAGAAATAGAAGGAGTGGGGTAAAAATCCATGTCCTTATTGTAAAGGACAGATTCATCTTCAGATCTAAAGGTTGCTGGGGGCAAATCTGTCATTTAAGGCCTGCTGTGGCTAAATGTCAGGGGTAAACCTTTCTGCTTCACTTCTGGGTTTTGAAAGTAATACCTTATTGAAAATACAAAGCACTCAAAAATATGAGTCCATATTGATATAATGGCGATATAGTTTTGCTGAAGATTTGACAGCTGTAGATCCATGGCCCATATTTTCCATTTCACTACTACTGAATGAGGTTTGATGTTCTTTTCTTCAGAGCTTTGTGACACTGAGGTCATCAAAGGATGGATCTGTGTTGTAGATGTTGATTTTTTGTTAATTGTAAGTTCTATCAATTTAGTTTTTTTTTTTTTTTTTAATGTGTGGAATAGTAGAGTACTTTGGTAGCTTTTAGACCAAACGTTAGATGTGATTTTTGTTTGCCAAATATCCGGTCTGATGACAGGAAAATGGCTTTTTTTGACCACTTTTTGAAATAGAAACGTCAGATTAAGTTAACTTTCATTTTCAACTAAGTTATAAAAAGCTTTTAGTAATTGTTTGGTCTATATTTTTTCAAGAAATAAAGTATATACAGACCAAAAGTTTGAACACAACCTTCTCATTTTGTATATTTTCATGACTATTTATAAGGCAAGAAAGCCCACTTTTTAATCTGACAAAGGCACACCTGTGAAGTGAAAACCATTTCAGGTGACTACCTCTTGAAGCTCATCAAGAGAATGCGGAGTGTATGCAAAGCAGTAATCACAGCAAAAGGTTGCTACTTTGAAGAAACTACAATATAAGACATATTTTCAGTTGTTTTAAATTTTTTTTGTTCAGTACATATTTCCACATGTGTTAATTCCTAGTTTGATGCCTTCAGTGTGAATCTACACTGTCAATAGTCATGAAAATAAAGGAAACTCATTGAATGAAAAGGTGTGTCCCAACATTTGGTCTGTACTGTATATTTTTTCAAACAATCAAGCTGGACGTGCGTGAAGAACCAAACCACAGGTTGCCGCCTAAACCTTTATTGGAAAAGTTTGGTTTTGGAACCTAGAAGGCCAACTATTTTCCTTGTTTTTGTACAAGTTTTTTGAGCCCAGGCATTTTGTAGCCTTAATTTTCTATTTGTAACTGGCAGGAGTTGCGGTGCGAGTGAACATCTGGAGCTGCAAACCATCTGCTTCAAAATGGGCAACAGTTGGGATGCATTTAGAGATGGCATTCCTGATAACTTAGTTATGACAAATCAATATTTGAGCTACTGTTGCCTTTGTATTATTTTGATCCTGTCTGTCCTGTCTCCTTGACATAAAGACATTTTCATCCTCCTAATTGTCACTCCTGAATACTTTTTATGTAAACCCAAAAACTAATTGTTTGTGAAAATCACATTAGATCAGTTGTTTCTAAAGTACTCACACCAGCCTGTCTGTTACCCACAGCCATCCTTTTCTTTTCATTTGGAGGCTACCCTCTGAACACGAATAAATTGGCTGTCATACTTCTGGATGCCATTTGATTGGTTTGTTCTGTAATGATGTCAACAAGAAACTGAACAATCATGTCTAATATTGTGATTATTGAGTCTTTCACAAATAATCCTTTGTTACCTAGTTATATTTCTGATGTTAGAGTTTATGTTTTCCTGATGCTAATTCAGAGATTGATCAGGAGCGAGTGGAAGACCTGGTACAGAATGTACTATGCAAGGAAACAACTGATTTGTTGCAGATGTGGTAATTAGAAAAGTAGAACAGCAACAATCAAGACTTGTATGAAATGGAACAAAAATGGTAAGTAAAAAGACAATCAGAGGGAAACAATAAAACAAACTAAACTGGTATTCATTAAATGTAATAAAAGTGTCAAACTGACGATGTCTGACAAAAATGTGAACATGGTGCATATCAAGGCACATGTTGCAATTTCAGTGCCTCACTAGACTGCTGACATTTTAATGGATTAGGTAAAACAAACCTAAACCAGACATTGATCAAAACTCATGAAAGATACTGATCTTATGAAAACATAAATTAAACAAAGGATGACAAGACAAACCCCATGCTTAACTTGGGAATATTTATCTGTCTATCTTGTAGCAGAGCAGAGCAGAGCTTTTCATCTCTGCAACACTGTCATTAGTTTTTGAGAATAAATGTAAGGCTACCAACTTGTATGATAGATAAAAAAAATCAGAATAAAGCTTTCTGCAATGATGTTCCATTGCATTTTTGTTTAGACATAATAAATAAGCAAATTAACACCTTATCATTACAGTTAGGTTTTAGCATTAACACCTAGTCACAATGGATGAATTCAACTTTAAAATGTTCCTCTTTCCTACAGTGACATATTTTATTATGGAATACCTAAATGTTAGAATTTCACAAGTTGTTTTAAGCTCCTCCATTCCTTTTAGAGCATAAGTTGTTGTAAAAGTTACAGTATTTTAATCAAGGTCAGTAAGTCCATCTTATATTGATGCTAAAAACTATGTTGTGCTCTCATAATTTGTTTAACATTGCGCGAAAACAAAAGAAAAATGGCCCCTTAAAGATAGGCATGCAATTTCAAGTGGTTCATGAAGCTGGATCTAAAATCCCTAAAGCAAACTACAGCCTGCTGCTGCGGTTATGCTTCTCTTATGCAACTGACACAGTTTTCTGAGGTGAAATCAAGCCTGTCCAGAAATAACCAGCATTTACATATTCCAGCAGAGTGTTGTCTAAAAGTTGGGACAGTTTTTCCTCCTCGATCTTTGGACTTGAGTATTTTAAAACCAGAGACATAAAGATTAAACTTTAAAAATGATGTAGCGGGCATGCTGTGGCTAGCGCAACCCATGTTTGGAGAACTTGAGTCTTCGATGTGGCCGTCACGGGTTTGATTCCCGGACCCGACGACGTCTGCCGCATGAATTTTGCTCCATTTAGAAAAAAGCTTATTTTAGCCTACTTTCCCCTAAGGAGTTTTCAAAGTGCTAACATGACTCACAATTTTGAGAATTTTATGGCATTGCTTAATGGTATTAATCAGTCAATTAAAGTGACTTTTAGTAAATCCCTTTAATCAGTCATTAGAATAATCTACTCTAATCTTGGATACCAGAAAAATAACAAAATTAAAATCCTGCAGTGTTAAGCATTCATGTTGTTATTCTAATCTTTAACTATAAAGGAAGAAGGCATTGTTTAACAGTGCACGACTCTTCAGTTATAAACAGATACACACTGCGGATAAGTGCCTTAGCAGAGTGCTGTAATTTTGTTAGCATGCATGCTGGACTAAAAGAGAGGGAGAAGGACTATTATTGACATCAGAGCCACAATGTGACTGGGAAAATCTGACGAAAATCTATACTTGTCAGGCTACAAACAAGCTGCAAAACACTGAGGACAAGGTAGAAATGTTGAAGGCTTATTTTTACTGAAATGTAACAGTTTCATAAAATGTTTAAACTGTTCTTTAAAAAAAAACAATAACAAATACAAAGAAGTTGTGAAACATGCATGTTTCAAAGCAAAACAGAGAACAAATTAAGAGATGTCGCCCAGTTGGAAATCTTTTTTTTTTTTTTTTGCAAAATAAGAAGAGCCATGTCTTCCCTTATTCTTCCTATGTCCTCCTAAATATCTGTGCTGTTAATCAGTCTGGTGTCCCATCAGTCCATGGCTTTCCCTACAGAATTTCTCTAAGACAAAGCTGGGGCATAAGGTAATTGGGAAGAGGAAGAATCTGGGACTTAGTGCTATATATTAAAAAAAATATCAAAACTCTTCTAAAACTAGTTAGCAGCATATTCAGCTGAGTTATCTTTTGGTTATGGGCTACATTTTTAGGCCTGCAAAAATGAGACTTTCCCAGTCCATAAACTGCAGTGTATCTCACAGTAAGCTGACGGTCTGCAAAAGGTGAAACCTCATAGAATTTGGAGTTTGATTAGAACATAAAGTAAGGATTTTATTTTATGCTTTAATATAAAAGCATAAAATAAAAGAGAAGAGAAAGAAGGGTTAAAGAACAACAAAAGATCTTCAACAGCTATGCCTCAACACGACCATTGGAAGTGCACCAAATATATGACACTGAAAGGTGGAAGAAAATATTCTTGATATTTGTCATGGCTTTCATCACTACTGGCATGACAATGAGATCCACTTCTCCTCTGTAATATATTCATTACAATTCTGTAATGTTCATTACAGAGTAGAAGGTAATGTTTCGATCTAGAGAGTTTTTTACTTTGGGACAATTGAGCTTGCAATTTTGCAGAGGCTTGAAACCTGTGAGCCTGTGAAGATGTTGCAAATATTGCAGGATCTATGTGGTGATCAATGAGTCTCTGAGCAGAACAATACAGCAGAACCTAATTTTACTCTTTTCATCCATCTTTCATGTTTCACTCATCCTAATCATATTAACATGTTTTGTCGGTTGGATTGCAGGTTGTCAAACACAAAGGTCAGCTCCAGACATTGAATGCCCTTCATGAAGCAATCTTCACCAAATAAAGCAACATTTGGTGAAGTAAAAGCCTAGTCAGTTTATATTAGCAAGTGAATTTGCAATGTTTTGTTTACATTGTTGGATTTCCTGCTGCCCAGAGTTCTATGAGATTTTGCTAGGGTAAGAATATTTTTGTGGCATCACACTGCTAGTTCTTAGAAGTATATTTGGTTGAACCCCCCCAGGGCTTGACTCCATGCTCTCACTGTATGTAAAAGAAAAAAAGGAGATCAATGTGACACTCAAGCTGTGACAGAAACATGAGCACCACGGGGAAAACTGTGCATGATGTCATCAGACAGACTGAAATATGAGTCATGATAATCTGTCTGGTCATAATGGATGAAATGTGTGAATGACTGCAGGAAGAAAAGGGGAAAAACTGGATGAAACATTAGAAGCATCACTCACTTGTTGTCTCCTAGCATTGATCCACCCCCACCCTCTCTAAAGCTCCATGTGGGTCTAAATTGTGTTATTGTAAGCTGTATCCCACTGTGAAGTGTGGGTTGGCTGGTATAGGAAAGTTGGCTCCACTGCAACACACTGCTGCCTCTTCTTTGTCTCTGTATGGAATACTTACCTATTCTGGACCATTTTTAAATCAGGTAGGATAGGAAAATTAACTTGGATCTTTTTGCCTACATTTGCAGCATAAGAAAACATCCAAATTCAAATTAGTCTGCAAAGTTAGCAAATTAGCTGTCAGTTTTTAGCTATTTTTAAGTGTCTAAAGTAAGGCTACCGATCAGGGGAAGTAAACTGATTACTTTTGCTTATAACTATTAAATTGAGTTGAGTTGAAAGTTGGACTTTCCTCATTTGCAGGAGAGATATTTCAGAAGCATACATAACAGAAAAAAAAGACAGAATGTTAATCTGGAGGCTAAAATTCCAGATTTATTCAAAAGGTTGTAAAGGCAAATGTAGACAACATACATTTTGTGGATAAAATGAAAAAAAGAAGAAAATATGAAAGTGTGGCCTCCTGGCAGCAATTTAAAGCACAGAATGCTTTCTTCCACCTGGAGGGAAATACATTGTTGTTATACTGTGTAACTAATTGCACTTAACACAACAACAGTTAGCAAATCACACTGCACCCACTTGGAGCTACTTGGTAGTCTCCTGTTGTGGGATATTATTGGCATTAGCTGCAATTTCTCTGCATAAATTAAAAGCTGCCAAAAATATATATCAGGGAAATTTTTTTTTCGAAAATTCACTAACTCAGATTTTGCTAATTATATCTTATTTATAAGTTAAGTCCACCCAGGGGAAATTACTGTGTAGTAATTCTAATTATTTATTTCAGACTTAAACGAAAAAGAAAAATGACTAAACACTAAAGTATTTGCTTGTCCTGTAGATAAACTTCAAGTATTTACACAAATCTGTGTGGGTTTGCTATAATGACTGCAGTGCAGTAATTATGACTGGGAGTCAGACATTCATTTATGCTTTACAGTTTGTCAAAGACAGCGAGCTTTCACTTAGGATTTATGCAGCACTAAATGCAGTGAAACAGCTGCACATTCCAGGAAGTCTGCTTCAGAGAGACATTGTTGAACCACATGACCAACTGAGTGAATGCAAGCATAAGTGAGTAAAAGAAAAGAGAGCAGACAGAGGTAAAAGGAATATCATATCATGTACAAGAGGCTTAAATGTCTGGATTCCAGATTAGCCACAAGTTTAAGTTCATCAACTCAGAAAACTCAGTCATATGTTTATATAATCTTCACTTGCCTGTCCTTGGAGTTGTTCAAAGAAAAACTAGTATGTAATTTACTTGAGGATTAAATAAACCCCTTCTGAGGACAACTAGTTTCATTTGTTTTTGTCTTAAAATAAAAGGTTGTCAGCAAAAATCCAAACATAAATCAATCAAAGTTCTGTTATTTATCTGAAAAGACACCATATGTTTTAACAGCTTCACCTAATGTATTCTTGGTTCAATGTCCACGTCTCCAGTGGGAAACATGCTGTGAAGACTGGAGGCAGGCTGACACCACTTGGCATGTTCTGCAGGGGGGAAATGCTCCTTTCAGGCTATGCCAACTCTGTTTGGACCAGAAGCAGCGTCTCTCTGATACAGAGATGATAGTGAGGGCGATAGTGGTTTCTCAGCTCTGTACCGCTTCATCATCCATCCATCCATCCATCCATCCATCCATCCATCCATCCATCCATCCATCCATCCATCCATCCATCCATTTTCTTACACCCTTGTCCCCTGCGCGGTCATGAGGGGTGCTGGTGTCTATCTCCAGCAAACGTTTTGGGCGAGAGCTGAGGTACACCCTGGACAGGTGCCAGCCCCTTTGTCATTCAGTCATTAAATACAAAATCTGAAAAGTCCCTGAACCAACTCAGATTTTTAGGTGGGACAGAATTCATTTTTTTGGTTCATATCAGAGTTAGATTGGACATCATCCCAAAAAATTTGAATGCAGGATAAAATTTTAAAGATATATTTTTAGCAGGGTAATGTGTTTTCTTACCTCACATCTGACTGCATTGGATTAGAACTGACTGCAGATGCTGACTGCAGACTTCGCAAAAAAAAAAAAAAAAAAAAGCTAAATTTTTAACAGTACCTCGCTCAAAATACTCAGCAATAATAAAACTGCTTAGGTGCTTTGACACATGACAAAAACTAATCAAAAAGCCTTCATTAGCTAGTTACTTTCAAAGTAAGGCTTTAAAACTGCTGCTTTAAAGTAGTACTTTCTAACTTTGTGCAAAGGGTAGCTGTGCTATGATGCTAATGCTAGCTCCAATGTGGTTAGTATAATTATGTGGAGATTCAGCTTCAGCTGATTCATTTTTGTTCTCCTTTCCAACTTCGCTCCAAATTATATTACCTGTGAGAAGGATATTACAAAAAATACATATAAAATACAATTTGCTTAAACACAAAGTTTATGATTTTTAAAGCTGCTATCTCCTTTAAATGCCTTCAAATGGAACTACAACCATAACTTTCTATTTTATTTGTAATGGATGACAACATGGAGAATGAAGCATGGTGAGATATTCCAAAAATGTTAGGCAGCAGATTTCACATGCTTGTTTTAATGCTTTAATAAATTATTGGTTTTTTTCCTTGAGTAATCTCAATAGTTATCAGATTGACCTTTACAGTTTCCTGATACACTTTACGTTGTCCCTCTCCATATTCAATTTCAATTCTTCTTTTTTAGATTTCTCTTCTGTGATGCAGTGACTCACACTAACCATGAATAATGGAGCCAGCATCAAAGTTGTATCCCAAAGCCAGAGTGATACAAGAGTCAGTTCAAGTTTCCCTTTACCTCAGACCATGATGCCTCTGCCAAAGATGGATTCCAAACAGTACAGCAGCCTCCCCATTCCCACAGTGCAGTATCAGCTCGCTTCCAGACGACAACTTGCATATTCTTCATCATCTGTTTCCTCAGATCCTGCAGACGTGGTGAGAGGTAAAATTTTAAAAGCTAACCTAATGCAGCAAAGGATTGGTATGTATTCTAACAGAGGCCCAGTCAGTACAGAGCGAAGCAATGGAACATGTTCAGCATATAGCAGCCCTCAGATTGCAAAGAGAGACGTTCCACGTTCCAAAGACACATTGGATCTGCGAAACAGTGTTTTGACACACAAGGCTTTGAGAGACCTTCAGCTAAGGAGAAACACCAATAAGAACTGGACTTTTGGAAAGAGTCGTTTAAGAAGTCTAGACAACGCACAAGAGGACGACACCTTAGTGAAGCCCTCAGCTGACCTTTATCCAGTCCGAGAACGAGGACGTTTCCTTTATACCAAAGGGACAAATGGGAATGAAAGATCACGTCCTTCTTCCGCTGGACTGGAGCACCTCCAAAAAGAAGTGAGGAACATCTCAAACCAGGACTTGGGAGGATTTGTGGGAGATTTTCTTGGTAATAAACCAAAAGATTTTTACCAGAAGTTTAACATGAAACGAAGAGGGAGCGAGCCAGGAAAAATCAACATGGCTGCTGTTGCTCCATTTAGGTTCAGGTGAGGGCAGTATTTCACCTTTTTAAATTACAAAGATAAGCTCATATATTAATTTTTGAGTGAAATTTGATTTGAGCTCTTCCTTAGCCTTTGAATAAATAAAGCCAAATATAGACTTATTTTATAATAAAAAAGAACAGCTTGACCTGTTCTTTTGTTCAACTCCAGGTTTCAGGTCAATGAGGATACAGATGCTACACTTGATGATCTGAGTGACTGCTCCTCTGATTCCATGGAGGTCTGCTGTGATGACTTAGGTGAGTCTGCTGCCTTCGCAATTCATATTTGGGAATATTTGGCTCACGGTTATGAGGCAGAGGCAATCTATTATAACAATCTGTGTGGTTTCAGAAATTTCACAGGTTTTCTCTGTAAAACTTGTAAAATGAAAAACAAATGCTTTTTCTATTGCAATTTTTCAGCCAATTCAAAAATAGCAAGGGGAAGTTTGTATATATGCAATGTTGTAAATCTGCAAAGGTGAAGTATTTGTGTTTTTAAAATAAAGTAGTCCATTCAATAAAAAAATATATATGGCAGGACTTAAAAATTGCTATTCACTGATGTTCTTCTTTCAGTTGGAGTAAGCTCAAATTCTATTGCAAAGAAGAAAATCCCAGTCCATATACCTGCAAGGCATGGACGGACTTACTCCAAATTCTTGCAGCTGTAATTGCAGTGAAATGGGCTTTTACTCGCATTGCAGTTGTGTGATGAAAACTCTAACACTTGAAAATTCTTCTTAGATGCTCAAGGTACTTTCCCCATTCCTCTACTCATCCCAAAGAAGTTTATTAGACTAAGAAAACAAATTTTACACACTCCACTGAGGTCAGCCAGTTGGTTATGCAGAACATGGTTTTTCCATTTGTGTTTTATTGCATCCTGTAACACCCAAACTTTTACAAGGCTCACTGCTGACTGTTAAGCATGGCTGTTTTTCTCTCAGTGTCTGCCTTCCATGCTGGATGTGCTGTCTGTTATGTGCATCAGGGTTTCCTAAAATACTTCACTTCTTTATGTACTTAGAAATAAAAAGGAAGAAGGAAAAAAAAAGATGGCACTTGTAAATGGCAGATTTCTTAGAACCACAAGGCACTCTTAATGTAATATTTTCTTTTTGTATTTTATATTGTTTGTTTTTTTGGCAGGTCTGAGAAAAACATTAAAAGCTAAATATGTGGTGTGACTTGAACCATGTTACAACTCTGCACTCCACACAATTTACAAATCTAATTACAAATTCAGTTTGTATTTGTCTTGGTCAATACTTGCTAATGTTGTGAAATGAATTAAAGTCACAATTTGCCAAAGGACCTGAAACAATACAATCAATTAAGTTTAATTAGAAAGAGAGATTACTGATCTACTGTAAATAAAGGAAATTGATTTAAAAACCTTAGCCAAAGGAAAGATTTAGTATTTTACCTTGTTGCAAACCAACTGTATTTGGATCAAGCAACTATGATAACATTTTGAAAACTCTAAACGCACTGGTTTATTCAGAGTTTTCAAAATATTATCATAGTGGCTTGATCCAGCAACAGTTGGTTTGCAACAAGGTAAAATACAAAATCTATGCTAAATATATCCATTGTGCTAAAGTTGTTATTGGGAAGTTTTGAAAATTAAATCAATTTTATTTATATAGGAATATATGAAGGAAATTGATTTAATGTGTTATATATACACAGAGACAGAGAGAGATGCACCGGCAGATATAGATATAGTCTGTAGTTCTTGCCCAATTTAAAATAAAATGTTACAGCATTAAGGCAGTGTGATAGTCTTGCAAAGGTCTCGCAAAGGTCTTATTGCAACAATAAAATATTTTATAAACAGCAATAAAACTTAAAACCTGGTTATAACAAGCTCTGAAAAAAAGTTGTTATTGCCCTGATGCACAGTCTAATTGAATAAAACATAAAAGGAATTTTAATGAATTCCAGACAAAACTGCAGTGTTTCTGGCTCGGGCTTGTGTGTTGGTTTTTAGTGTGTACCGTAATCCATGGAGGAGAAGTTAGAAATTATCCTCTCTGCCGTTTTGATGACTCCCTGCAGTAATTTCCTCCCATCCTGGGTCCAGTTGCTGTCCCCCCTCCCATGTAATTCCACCACAAAGGATGCTCTAAAATATATCTTCTGCAGATTTGGGTGATCTCTCTTATGGTTGTAAAATGGTTTTAATGTAGCAAAAAGCACTCTATTAGCACAAAAGTGTTTAAAAGTTCTGTATTCTTTGCTAATTTATTTGTACAACCAGCAGTTTGTTTTTCTGTTGATTGGGTATTGGGATAATGTCCACAAATAGCATGCTAACCTTTACTATATGGCCTCTTAGGTGACACTAAATTGGTAAAGTTGTGTGTATGCAGCACTGTTGCTCTGGTGGAGTTTGTCTGCATATCGATGCTTTTTTCTTTGTCAATAGATCTACATAGATCTATTGAGTCTCGAAAAGGTCAGTAATATATAAAATAGCATATTTTTTTTAGGTGTACATCACGTTATAATGTATCTTCTCATCAACAACATATCTGTAAAATAAAACATGTTTGAGAAATTTTTGGTATTTCCATTTGGATTTGTAAAACTCTTGATGGGACTAAGTGCTGCCTTTGAGGACATCTTCTCCTCAGAGTGTCCATGCATCAGAGAGCACCCCTTCTCTACTCCTCCTCCACTGAGCTCCTTCAGACTAGCCAGCAATAATTAGAAAACACCTGGTGGAACTGCTCATCTGCTGAGCTCGTTATATAAATTATTACTCAAACCAGTTTTCCGATAAACGTCTGTAGATGTTTAATAGAGGAATGTTAACTTGATGACATGCTGAAGGCGGAGAGTTGAAAAGCTCAAGAACTCTTTAAAGAGACATAGGCCCAATTTCAAACCATTAAGTTGCAAAATCACATTTTCTTTAAGTCATGTCTGATGTGTACAGCATTTTTATAACAACTGAAAGTGACAAAATTGCTTCATTGTGCTATAAAATTATACAGTGTCATTGGGAAAAAAAACCCTCAAGATTCCCCCTTTAGAACTGTGAATGGCATGTATTATCACAATAAGCAATGTTTTTTTAATTATATAATTACATAATTAGCTGCGTAAATTGTGTTTTTAATCAAGGTCACAATTAGCGCCATGTCTGAGGTAATTGGGAATACATTGAAATCAGAATATTTTAACAACATGTCTGGTATCATATTTGTGCCGGATGACCTCACCTCTTTGCACTGAGGAGCATGAAAGCCTCTAACGGACATCCTAATTATCTTAGTGACTGAAGGCCGAGACTCTGCAGCCAGACTCCTCAGGGAGAGACCAGACAAACAAATGAGCTGTCTTTCAAAGAGAATGGACAGCTTTAGGGCTGAGACTGACTATTTTGATGGGCAGATCGGATTTCATGTCTGGGACTAACAGCCTTTTTTTCACAGTTGAGTGGTGAGATGTTTCTTGGTTTACCATCAATCTGTTGCCAACTGCGAAGTGGTTGAAAGGTAAAATATGGACTTTTTATTCATTGTTCTGAAAGGAAAGAAAAAGCACTCAGCCATAATCTCTTGGAAATTAATTATTGATGGTAAGAGGGCTCAGTTGTTGCAGTCAAATTAATCACTCTTTAACTTGTTTGAATTAACTTTGCTGAAATTTTCTGTGAATTTACTTTTACATGGTGAATAAAGAAAATGTTGATCGAAGCAAAATATATAAATGAGAAACTCCTAATCCCTCAGGCTGGTTGCATTCCAGTAAGTTCACTACTTTCACTGGAGACTGTTGTTGAGGTTACTGCACCACATGAACTATCATGTGACCTTTTAAAACTCTTCATGTGCCTTTAACATTTAGCTTTTCATAAGAAGTTTTAATAGTTTGGGGTTTTTATAGATAAATGCTTAAAACGTAGACAGTGAGAAGTTATCACACAACTGATGGAAAACTTGATTCTTCAAAAATGCAACTTATCAGGAAAGAATATATATATATATATATATATATATATATATATATATATATATATATATATATATATATATATATATATATATATATATATATTGCTTCTAAATGAATAGATTCACATTGTTTAGTTAAAGTTACACTTCTTATACTTGAAAAAAATCTGAATGCATTTGTTAATGGATTTGTAGAGTGATGCTAATGATATTTATAATAAAATTTGTCATCTAAATTTTTAGTTTTAAATTACTAATTTAATAATTATTTAATTATAGTAGCTATAGTTGTCATAAGGTTGACTGAAAACAAGAAATCTGAATTTCCTCTGAAAAATCTGATATCTAAGACACAGTTTACACAGTCATGAAGTGTATTTCAGCAAAAACAAAGTGAGGAAAAACAATAGATTAAATAAAACATTTCAGAACACAACTTGTCTTCCCAATTAAAACTTTTAAATCTACCAAAAAGCACTTTGTGATTTGTAAGGCAATTAAATGTGACTCAATTTGGCATCATTTACAAACAATTTAGGAAACTGCTTGAGATTCACCAATTAAATTAAAATATTTAAATGCTGTTGCTATGATGTAACTTAATCCCTATTCTTGTCTCTCTGCATCATTTCTTAGATGGAAAGGAACTAAAGAAATTGAAAATTTTGTAATGAGCTAGACTTATTTGGAAATCTTTTCAAAAATATTAAAGTTTCCTCCAGAAAAGTATAAAAAAACTGCCAAAGAATTTTGTCAGTGAAAGTTACAATTTGATTAAGCCCAGATTGTGACTGCAATAAGTCAACTAATGAACCTGTTGCTGTTTCCAATAGAAGGGTCTTCTGCCTTAGACTTCTACACTGCTATACCTAAGAAAAAGTGGGTTTTCCCCCTTAGAGCACATGTGGAGGTCTCCTCAGTGTTACTCAATTCATTGCATCATAGCAGCTGAGAAGCACAAAACTGATCACATCTGCTGACCAGGGAAATGCTCAGGAGACAGCTGTGTGACTGTGTGTGTGGACACGCACTGATGTTGCAGTCACATGGATGGCCAGCTGGAGAATGTAAATCAAACCCAATTTTGGAAGAAATGAAAGCTTGTACTCCACCCTTCCCTCCTGAGGCTTGGCTGCGATTCACTTTGACTGAATGAGCAAAGTGATTCAACACATGACTCATGTTAAACCCTCAAAATTAAAATTTTAAGAAAAACATTTCACACTCTGCTAACCAAGAGTGTGTAACCATCTCATTGAATGAGAGTGAGGGAGTAACATTACTGGAATTTAACAATTTTGTTTTTGCACTTGCATTTTGCTTTTACCTGAGTTGTTTTCACTTATGGAAATTACAATGTGTCTTATTTGTGGTCTTCTTAACAAGATTTTATTATTTCATTGATACTAGTGTGCTGGTACATGATAGTAAACAACAGAAACTGGACTTACCAAAGAAAACTAAATTATTTTATTTGGTTTTGTATGTACAAAGTATACACACATCAAATATAAAGATGTAAACTAATTTAAACAAACAACTGTTTGACTTATGTCACTAATAAAAAGGCAGCATTTTTTTTCTGTCTGATGTAAACTTTATGTGCAAAACCTGTAGGAATTAGTTCTGCTGCAATGAATTTACTAATGCCCACCCTGAAACAAATCAGCTATTCATCACAGGAATGAATATAAGGTCATCATTGGTGCTCTTCAGTCAGCTGAAGAGCAAACTCATGATGTCGAGGAACAAGCCTTGTCATTGTTTCCACTGACAAATTCCCAGATTACAAAATTAGTGGACCTTAAATCACACCAGTTGCCTTAAAACTTAAATAAAGAGGGCAGTAGAGTGTGGTGAAACCTTTTGTGGGAGTTGGAAAGTCTCTGGACACGGCAGCTAGCACTAATGAAATCACATAGATTTGGAACATGTAGCCTGGTCTCCTTGCATAAAAATCGTTACTGAACATGTTCTAGCATGATCGAAGGCTAACAATGTGGGTTGTGCCATAGTAGCCTGTGGAAAAGGTAAATGTGTCTTTGTCATCTGTCTTTGAGCACTGAAGTCTGGCGCAGATGACATGCAGGCTGCAAGAGAGGGCGGTTTCCATGGA